AAAAAAAAAAAAAAAATTATTAGTAGATTCAATAAAAGCAACCCCATCCTAATTAACACACATCGTGATACCACATAAGGAGATCCATGCATCAGACGCTAACCCTTAAATGCTAACGTTGGCCCTTCAAGGAGACAGACACTGTCTAAGAGCTAGAACAGAAGAAATAATGAGGACAGCAGAGGAGCGCTGGAGCTGTGAGGTGCTGAGGCTGATGGATGCCACGGACCATGGGGCACTGACGGGAAGACGTGGCCTGAGAACAGCCTGAGTACAAGGATTCCAGCAACACAGAAGAAACCAGGGACAGAGAAAACAAAGCTTGGAGAACCACCCTGCAAGAGACGGGAAGGCCAAAGAGCAGCAGGGAAGGTCTACACTGTAACATCTACTACTTAGAGGACAGTGTCCTCATGTGCACGTGTACCTCCTCAGGAAGTAGCCATGTGTTCCAAGGAATGAGAAGGTCATTTATTGAGCTCTTCTATGCCCAGACATTGGGTTAAGCATTTACATGTATTTAATCTTCACAGCTGCTCCTTGTGAGCACTCTTATCATATATATATATATTTATTTTTCTTAAAAAGATGACCGGTAAGGGGATCTTAACCCTTGACTTGGTGTTGTCAGCACCATGCTCACCCAGTGAGCGAACCGGCCATCCCTATATAGGATCCGAACCCGCGGCCTTGGTGTTATCAGCACCACACTCTCCCGAATGAGCCACAGGCCAGCCCCTTATCTTTATATTTTTGAAGAAGACACAGAGGCTTGCAGATGTTGGGCAACAGTTACAGTGTGGATTTAAGTTTTGGGGGACATTCAACCCAAGGCACTCATCACTGGTCCACGTCATGGTCTTAGTGTCATAGGGCAGTGAAGGACTTGGATGATGACTGAGGAAACCCGAGCACACATCCCGATTTGCCACTGGGTAACTCTATGGCCTTGGGCTCTCACATCCCTTATCTACAAAATGACAAGGCTAGATAAGTTTCAAAAGGCTCTTCTTTGTCTAAAATGCTTTGAGTTTTTCTGATCAATGGTCTATAGTTTACAAGAGACATTTAAGTCAGAAGGCACAAACAGAATAATAGTGAATCATGCTCATGGGCAGGTGTTAGAAATAGGGGCTGCCATCATGGTAGCAGATGAAATTAATTATGAAATAAAAAAGAGAACTAAGGTATAATCAAGATCACCGTAGAAGGTAAGCGGTACATAGGACAAAGAAAGCCTAGTAATAATGCCCAACATATAATGGAATAAAGTGATAAAATAATAAAGTAATAAAGCCAACATGTAATAGAAAAGCTCATAAAATGAAAACTAGTAGAAATGAAAGAAATATAGGTCTATCTATATATCTACATATTGAGAGAATTACAGTCAAGACTTTGAAAACATAGGTGGTTAAGAAACAAAAGGTTACTGATATGAAGTCAGGGGAAAGAAACAGGAAAGCCTAACAAAGCTTGAAATAAGACAAAGTATATTTGGATGGGAAGTGGGGAAGGGACAAGTGGAAAATGAAATTGGAAGGTCTAAGTATAGAACAATAAAGGAAGAACGTACTGATACATTGTGTGAACCCCAAATAAGACATAATAATACGTTGAAGCAAATAAAGGGGAAAAAAAATCCATCTTACATTTGAACATAAAAGGTATTTAGCAATTCCGAAAAGGCAGAAGGCCTGAATATTACATTATGCCAACCACATGTAATAATCTGGAAAGAAAATAAAATGGAGTTAGAAAGTTGCTCAACTATTTGAACATTTTAAAACATTCCCTTCAATAATTTCTGGGTTGGGGACAAATTCGAACATACAATTACAAAAAATATTTAAAAAAAAATAAAAATGAAGTGCACTATCCTAAGTAAAGAATTGTTATAAATATATTTTGACAGTATCTAAATTCTGTGTAATGAGCAGATAGTTTATAGACAAGGAAAAACAGACATAAAATCACACAAGAATGCATATCTTTTATGGCTTAATGAAATGCAAATTAACATTTTTTAAGGTTTCATTATATGCCTGTAAAACAAGAAAAAAACCCACAAAATGATAAAAGCCAACATCGTTAGGTTTTTAGTGGCACCAGGTTCAGCACTGGAGAAATGGAAACGAAAAAGAAGGAATCCCTGTCCCCCTGGAGCCCTGGGTTAAATCAACGGAGGCACATGAACATGGTGGATTGCTTGTAAACATAATCATAAAGCATTTGAAGGAATCACTGAGAGTGAGTTACTGTAAAGAGTGTGTTAGTATAACAGACCTGACCGCGGTCCTGGAGGTGTGAACCCAGGATGAGGAAGTCAGGTGCTGGGAAATGACGTGGGGACAGCACAGAGCTCAGCGAGCATGCTTCATATGGGTGCCAGCCTCCACCCCAGCCCCAGACACGCTGCAGCCAACCTGGCATGGCAGCAGGGCACACATGTGTGCAGTTCTCCTCCTGTGTCCCCAAACAGTCTAGTCCCCCACTGGCAGGAGCTGCACAGCCTGAAGTCTGGGTTGCCAGATGCCTTTGTGTCTTCAGAAAGGAACAGGAATCCCAGATGTCTGCCTTCAGCCTCCTTCTTATCACATGAACAGAACGGGCTTGAGGTCCCTTATCAGGGCAAGGCCTATGTCCACACAGAAAAATGGTAACTAGAATACAGTGGGGGTTTTGTGTCACCACCGTTGTATCTCCAATTCCCAGCACCCAGTGCCCACCACGTAACGGGTTCTCAGTGCACACTTGTTGAATGACTGAGATGTGCATATGGAAGGATAGCACAAAAGCAAAACACAAGTCCTAAATTATGCACTCTTCCTATGCAGAGATTCATATGTTCGCTTCCAAGCTCAAAAGAGATTTTGCAATGATATAAATAAAGCATGCTTCTTTTCTGTCAAGATGCTTAGATTCATACTTTTTAAATTAAAAAAATTATACACACATTTATACACATATGCACAGCACCACCTGTGTGTTCCAACCCTGTGTGCCCAATGTGCTCCATCTATTTGGGAGGCTCATGGGCCTAGATTTACAAATCTAAACCAGCTTTTCTCATGCCTGGCTGTACAGGTGACTGCCTGGGGAGCTTTCAGCAATCCCCAGGTCCAGCCCACCCCCAGGCAAGCCCCTGACTTGTCTGGGATGGTGCCCTGTGGGCCACAGTGACAAATGCAATAAAGATGGTGTCCCTCTGTGCACCTCCCACCCCCACATTCTAATGTCTACAGTGGGCACACTAGGTAAGCCTTGCTAGCCTTCGCCCCTCTGAGTGAGAGGATTGTTGGAGGCTGATTTCTCAGGCTGTATTTACCTCATCGGTTAGGCAGTTTGGGTGGGCACTGCCAGAACGTTCTCCAAAGGTGAGGTTGAGAAGCCCACCAGGGTGGGAAGGGCCTGGACAGGGAACTTGCCCTGATAAGGGACCTCAAGCCCGTTCTGTTCATGTGATAAGAAGGAGGCTGAAGGCGGACATCTGGGATTGCTGTTCCTTTCTGAAGACACGAAGGCATCTGGCAACCCAGACTTCAGGCTGTGCAGCTCCTGCCAGTGGGGGACTAGATTGTTGGGGGACACAGGAGGAGAACTGTGCACGTGTGTGCCCTGCTGCCATGCCAGGTCGGCTGCAGCGTGTCTGGGGCTGGGGTGGAGGCTGGCACCCATATGAAGCATGCTCGCTGAGCTCCGTGCTGTCCCCACGTCATTTCCCAGCACCTGACTTCCTCATCCTGGGCTCACACCTCCAGGACCGTGGTCAGGTCTGTTTTCTTTCCTCTGCCCACCTCTCCTACCCGTCCAGAGTTTGACATAGTTTGTGGGTCTGCCTTGGAGCTTGACAGTAGCTCCCTGCACCCGAGAACAGCAGGGGGCATGTGTTGTCTCTAAACTGAGTTGGGACTTGGGATGAAAAGGCCCCCTTTGGGGCCAGTGACAGGCCAGTACTAGAAGAATTGTGGGTCTGCCTTGGAGCTTGACAGTAGCTCCCTGCACCCGAGAACAGCAGGGGGCATGTATTGTCTCTAAACCGAGTTGGGACTTGGGATGAAAAGGCCCCCTTTGGGGCCAGTGACAGGCCAGTACTAGAAGAACTTATGGCAAGTGTGTCCTCTCCCCTCCTCCAGGCTTCCCATTCTCCAAGGAGGGACAGTTGCTTTCCTGGTACCCTCTCTGTCCATGCTCTCCCTTCCCGCCTGGAAGTGCCCCGAGTGGACACTCAATGCCAGCCTTGTGAACACCAGCTCTCCTGAATTCACTGAGGAGTGGCAGAAGAGGATCCGAGAGGTACGGGGCAAGGGGGGCGGGTGGGAGGAGTGCAAAGGGCACAGCAGGGCTCCTGAGGTCATTCATCTGCTCAACGTTCATTACTCAACTCCCCGCCAGGCAGGATCCTGGGCTTTAAGACACCACAGTAGATATGAGAGCAAGGGTCCTGCCCTCACGGAACTAACATTCTAGTGTGTGCATGTGGTGGGGCAGGCGGGAGGGAGAGAGAGAAATGCTCCAATAAGTAAATGGAGAAGGAAAATCCCAGGGGGTCATAAGTGCAAGGAAGAAAATAAAACAGGGCGAAGAGCAAGAGAGTGATTGGGGCTGCTGGGGTGGAAAGGATGGAGATTCAAAACAGGCTTTCTTGGGAACACTCTGGCACATTTCAAGGAGGAAGAGCTCAATCATTTCTTCAGCCAGTCCCAGGAGGCGGAGAGGGTAAGGAACAGTACTCCTGTTCTATATTAATTGATCAGATGTCATTAGTTGAGCACCTGCCAGGTGCCAAGCATTGTGCTCAGTGCTGGGACTACAAAGAGGAGAGAGACCCATCATGGTGATGATGATGGTGATGATGATAGTAGCAACAGATCATGGTTACTGAGCAGTTGGAGTTTTCCAGGAATGCTACTACAAGTTTTCCATAGATGTACACGTGCCACATTGACAAATGTCCATAGTAGGCTTGCATTAATGGGGAGACCAACATGCAGGACCAGGGCTCAGCACCATTCTGTTAGTGGGTACTGCCTGCTCAGTCTACCCACTTTGGACACTTGTGCCCCTCTGCTTACCTAACATGAAGCCTGACCCTTGCTGAATTCAATTGTATCATCAGGGGAAAGGAACTGGTGGCCTGAAAGCAGGCTCTGAAATTTGGCAGTGTTCCAGGTTGGCTTCTCTAAAATGGTACAGAAGGAAGTCAGCACACTCAGGACTCCTGGCAGAGAGATCAGCCACACCCTCAGGAACAGTAGATTGAGAGCTTTCAACTCTAGCATCTTTTCCCAAAGTGGGTGGGTGGAGTGGTGCCTCGTGGGTGGGGTGCAGTTGTAGATGGTATGATATGAGAGAATGAAGGTCACTTGAGATCTTCAGGAAGACCAAACCATCTCCTTTTCAGCTCAATCTTAAACAGCTAGGCCTGGAGCATCTGTGCTTGGGCTGGCCAGACCTATGCCAGGGACCACCTCCTCTGGAGCAGGAGTAACTACACAATCACAGTATGGTGATGGGGTTCCAGTACAATGTTTGCTCAGGCACGAACACAGTCCTCATTTATCTCCAGCACCAACCCTCCCAAGCTCACTGAAACTGGACTGAGATCTTCCTAAATTCAGGTCTATGGACCTAGAGCAGGTGGGCTCTTTGGATATCTGAGAGCCAAGCTAACAAGCCTTAGACCAGTCAAGGCCCATCCTGAAATTCTCCTTGATCCATATTTAGCATCCTTCTAGCCTCATTTCTGCAACAATTGTCATTTCCCTGTATATGACATGCAGAAGAGGAAGTGGGAAGACAGAGGAAACAACAATAGCCAGATTCCTATTCCTGCCCATATTTGACCAGTGAGAAGGAACAGAACTGACAGTGCATCTCACTGCATAGCAATACTATTGTGTGTTTGGTAATATTGCGCCAATGTTAATTCTCACTTCTTTCCAATTTGAACTGGTACCTTTTAAAATAAAATTTTTTATTTTAAGTTTAACAAGCATACATAAAAGAACACAATTAACTTGCACAAGCTGAGCTTAGTCGTGTAACCCAGCTCAAGAAACAGAACCTTACCAACACCCCAGAAGCCCCACGGTGCCTCCCTCCAACGCTCCTCCCACGGGGGTACCGCTCCCCTGACTTCCAGCATCACAGAGTGGTTTTGCCTGTCAGTGCACTTTGTATGTGGAACTACACAGTATGTATTCATTTGTGTCTGACTTCTTTCATTCGACATTACATGTCTGCAAGATTCTTCCACGTTGTTATGTGTAGTGGTAGATTATTTTCTTTGCTGAATAACGTTTTGTATATAAATACAGCAATTTACCTCTTCTATGTTATCCAAACTGTGTTTATTGGTGGTTTCTGGTTATTTGCTGTTGTAAATAGTGCTGCTGTGAATATTTGTGTACCTGTCTTTAGGTGAACATATATATGTACTTCCATTGAATATACACCTAGGAGTGGAATCATTGGGTCATAGGGTGTGCATGTGTCCACCTTTAGTAAGCACTACCAAATACTGCCAAAAGTGGATGTTCCAATTTATGGTGTCACCAGTAGTATATATATGTACTTCCATTGAATATACACCTAGGAGTGGAATCATTGGGTCATAGGGTGTGCGTGTGTCCACCTTTAGTAAGCACTACCAAATACTGCCAAAAGTGGATGTTCCAATTTATGGTGTCACCAGTAGTGTGGGAGTTCCAGTTATGTTCCATTCTTACCAACATTTTCTGTCTTTTTCATTTTAGCCATTCCGGTGGGGAACTTTTATTATTTTTATGATGCTACTGAGTGATTTTTTTTTAAAGGAATTTGTTTTTAATTGTACATATTTATGGGGTACAGAGTTCTATTTCAGAACATGTATACAATTTGTGATGATCAAGTCGGGGTAATTAGCATATTCATAATCATAAAACTTTATCCTTTCTTTGTGATGTGAACATTTGAACTCTTTTCTTTTAGCCATTTGAGAGCACACAATAAATAATTGTTAATTGTGATGCCTAGGACTATATTTACAACAAGAACTTAATTTTCTTATCTAGCTGTAATTTTGTGCCCATTAACACCAATCGTTCCCTGCCTCTAGTAACCACAATTTTACTCTCTACTTCTAAAAGTTCAATTCATTTTTTTATCTCCCACGTACAAATGAGGACTTGCAATGTTTATCTTTCCGTGCCTTGTTTCACTTAACATAAATGATGCCACAAATGACAGGATTTCATTCTTTTTCATGGCTGAGTAGTATTCCATTGTGTATATACACATTTTTTTTTTTTATCATTCATCTTTTGATTCCATATCTTGGCTATTAGGAATAGAGCTGCAGTAAACATGGGGGTGCAGATATCTATTTGGTATGCTCATTTCCTTTCCTTTAAATAAATACCCAGCAGTGGGATTGCTGGGTGATATGGTAGTTCTATCTTCTGTTTTTTAAGGAAACTCCATACAATTTCCATGACAGCCATACTAATTTACATTACCACCAACAGTGTATAAGAATTCCCTTTTCTCCACGCCCTTACTAACATTTGTTAGTTTTTGTCTTTTTGATAATAGCCATTCTAACTGGGCTGAAATGATATGTAATTGTGGTTTTGATTTGCATTTCCCTGATGATTAGTGTTGCCGAGCATTTTTTCAAATACCTGTTGGCCATGTGTATGTTTTTTTTTTGAGAAATATCAGTTTTAAATTGGATTATTTATTTATTTATTTTTATTTTTTGCTGTTAAGTTGTTTGACTTCTTTGTGTATTCTGGATATTAACCCTTGTCAGATGAATAGTTTGCAAAAATATTTTCTCCCATTCGCTGGTTGCCTCTTTGTTCTGTTAATTATTTCTTTTGCTGTGCAGAAGATTTAATCCCATATGTCTATTTGTGCTTTTGTTGCCTGTGCATTAGAAGTCTTCTCCATAAAATTTTTGCCCAGACCAATGTGTTGGAGTGTTAATCCTATGTTTTCTCCTAATAGTTTTATAGTTTCAGATCTTACACTTAAAACTTTAACCCATTGTGAGTCAATTTTGGTACATGGTGAGATATAGGAGTCTAATTTCCTTCTTTTTGCATGTAGATATCCAGTTTTCCCAGCATCATTTATTGAAGAGGCTGTTCTTTCCCCAATATATATTTTTGGCTCTGTTGTCAAAAATCAGTTGGCTATATATATATATGTGGCTTTATTTCTGGGTTCTCTATTCTGTTCCATTGGTCTATGTGTCTGTTTTTATGCCAGTACCATTTTGTTTTAATTACTATAGCTTTGTAGTACATTTTGAAGTCAGATAATGTAATATCTCCAGCTTTGTTCTGTTTGCTCAGGGTTGCTTTGGCTATTCAGGGTCTTTTGTGGTTCCATATAAATTTTAGTATTGTTTTTTCTATTTCAGTGAATAATATCATTGGTATTTTGATAGGAGTTGCATTAAATTCCTTTGAGTTGTACGATCATTTTTGATGATATTAATTATTCTAATCCATGAACATGGATTGTCTTTCCATTTTTTTGGTGTCCTCTTTTCTTTCTTTCATCAGTGTTTTGTAGTTTTCATTGTAGAGATTTTTCACCTCCTTGGTTAAATTTATTCCTGAGTATTTTTTGGGGGTAGGGAGGGAGGCTAGCTGTTGTAAATGGAATTTCTTTCTTGATTTCTTTTTCAAATAGTTCATTGTTGATGTATAGAAATGCTACTGATTTTTGTATTTTGATTTTGTATCCTATAACTTTACTGAACTCATTATCAGTTCTAAGATACTGGTGGAGTCTATAGGTTTATATATATACACACACACACACGTAAGATCATGTCATCTGCAAACTTTTTCCAATTTGGATGCCCTTTATTCCTATCTCTTGCCTAATTGCTCTGGTGAGAACTTCCAGTACTGTGTTAAATAGGAGTGGTGAGAGTGGCCATCCTTGTCTTGTCCTGTTTGTAGACGAAAAGCTTTCAACTTTATTCAGTATGATGTTAGCTGTAGTTTTCTCATTTATGGCCTTTATTGTGTTGAGATATTTTCCTTCTATACCTAATTTGTTGAGACGTTTTATCATGAAAGATGTTTAATTGTTATCAAATGCTTTTTCAGCGTCTATTGAGATGATCATATGGTTTTGTCCATCATTTTATTGATGGTATAGCACATTTATTGATTTGTGTATGTTAAACCATTCTTGCATCCATTCACAAGGATACAGTCCTCACAATTTAATCACCTCCTAACAACCCCACCTTTCAAATACCGTAATTGCATTTCCCACCCCCTTAGCAC